CACCCCACCGTTCCCCGCCCAGGCTGTGGCCTCACCTTGACTGAGTAGGCCAGGGAGATGGTAACAGCCAGAGGCAGGCCCTTAGGCACGGCCACCACCAGCACCGTGACACCAATGATGAAGAACTTGACAAAGTACTGGATGTAGATGGGGGTGCACTCCGCCAGCCAGGGCCTGCGCTGCATCGCGAAGGTGTCGATCACAAAGTACAGCACCAGGATGATGACCGTGATGGCCGACATGATCAGTCCTAGGGGAGGAGACAGGTGAGAGGCCAACGGGACCTGTAGCGATGCCCCCACCTCCCAGCAATAGGCACTCCCCCAACACTCCTAGGCTGGGGATCAAGATGGGAAAGCCACGCTGACAGGAGTTTCTTGGAGCTCTGCTTCCCCGGGCCTTGAACCCTGCTGAAGTGACCTGTGCAGAATGAGCCCTGAGGGCTCTTTGTCTGTGCGTCCATCCACACCTAAACCTGCCTCGGCATTTCAGTGTGTTCACAGCAGGGTCTCTGATCCCATGGACTCCCAGGGCTGGACTAGCCAAGGGGCTGCAGGTGAAAATGGAGGTGCATTAGCAGAGCTATGTGGAGACCTAGGACTAGACTATGGCAGGGGAGAGCTGGAGTTCAGGACTGAGGGGCATGAGCAGAGATAGGCCTGGGGAGTCCCCAAGCCAGCAATAGCAGGGGGGACTGGTGAGATGAAGGGGCATCACCAAAGCTGAGTGTGGGGATCCAAGGATGGAATAGCAGGACGTGCTGCAGGTTAGGACTGAGGGGTAGCAGCGGAGCCAGTTGAGGGACCGTCTCACACCATGCCAGTCTCTAACCAGCGCTGTCTGTCCCTCACGGTCACAGCCAATACATCTAGTGGAACATCCTGCCACTACTACATCACAGCGGAGGAGCCCAGTGTGGAGCTGTCCGAGAGCCGAGATCCACCTCATCCAGGCTCACCTGCCTTCCCAATCTGCACCGCCAGACGGGTGAGCTTCCCTTGCAGCACCGATTTCTCCTTCTTCGGGACCTTCACCTTCTTCTTCTCCTTATCCTCATTCTCCACCCCTTCCTGGCTCTTCAGGGGCTGGATCTCCAGGGCCACGCCATCCTGAGTTTTAGCTACACCCCGGGGGCAAAAGAGACACAGTGGGTGAGTGGGAGGGGCAGCAGGGGAAAGCTTTTGACGCCATTGACAGAGATGGAGGAGGGAGAGAGAGAGAGAGAGAGAGAAACCTAGAGCAAAAAAGACTCCCCTGGCCCACACAGGCAAACACTAAAGGTTAAAGCCTACACCGTCCCAGGGAGCCTGCCCCACCGCCCCATAGGGCAAGTGCCTGGAACAGCTCGTGGGATCTGCTCACTTGCCCTCCCAACCCCTCTTCCCAGGTAAGGAAAAAACTTCTCTACTTGACTACACTAGGGAGGAAGGACAGCCTTAGTAGGGTATGGGACTCCTGGGTTCTATTCCCAGCTCTGCCAGTGACCCTGATTGGGTGGTCTTGGGCACCTTCACTGCCTTGTGCCTCAGTTTACCCATCTGTGAAATACAGCTGACGATACTTACCTTACATGGTTGTGTTAGGAGACTTAATTCACTAAGTGTTTGTAAAGCCCTTTGAATACAGGAGCATCAGAATGGCCAGGCTGGATCGGATTATAGGATAATCCAGGATCCTCTCGCCCACAGTGGCCAGCAGCACATGCTACTTCGGAGGAAGGTGCAGGAACCCCTACAGTAGGGCATTATGGAATACATTAAAGTTTCCTCCTAACCCCCAGTGGAGACTGCTTGATGCCCTGAAGCATGACGATTTAGATCCCTTCAAAAACACTTGGTCATCTTTAATCCTAAATTTTATAACTCCAGATAATTAACATCCATATGCATGTCCTGTACTTTCTGGAATCCTGCTAAGCACTTCGCCTCCAGGAGATAGCTTGTGGAACTCATTGTCACTATTTCCTTTCCTCAGCTCCCCTGTTCTATACACGTGCCAAGGATGATCTCGCTAATGCCTTCATGGAAGCTCAGCGGGAGTCACTTTACGCAGACAGCATTCGAGGGGGTGGAATGGAGGGGAGGGAAGTTTAAGGATTGGGGGTGGAGACTGACTCATTAATGCGGCGGAGTGAACCGGCTCCTTTACCCTCAGCCCTCTGGGATCCAGCCCCAAAATTTCTTTAGGATCCTTAAGACATAAAAAGGCCAAATCCTCAGATGGTGCTGCCAGATATAGCTCCCCCATAGGTCTATAGAGCCACGCCGGCCTACACTTGTGAGTATTTGAACCCAAAGAGCACCAATGAAACAGGAAGGTGTGTGTGTGTGTGTGTGTGTGTGTGTGTGTGTGTACGTAAACCCAACAAAATAAATAGTAGTTA